CAATAAAAAGATAATTTTAATTTTTTATTTAAGAGATTATAATAATATCTATTAGTGATTAGTGATTAGAAAGGATTATCATCACAGCACTCTGGACAGATCCATAGGCACTTCAAGGCAAAATATTTCCCAGGTTGTGTCCTTGGCTTGCTGGGCAACTACTTTGAAGGCTGCTGTTGTGGTCTGCATGGTGTGTTTACTTTCCCGCAGTAGGTCAGGAGAGACTAATTGTTCACCAGTTTTTCTTTTTCAAATGGGACAGTCTGGGACATTTCATTTGATTTTCACTGCCACAGAAACAGAGCATGTATAGTGTGACCTGACTGCAGTGAAGTTAACTACCACTGTTGCTGAAGCTACAGAAAATAAACTTAATAAAAGCAGCATATAAATGCATAAGAGGCAGGGAATTTTACACACTCCACACACACACATGTACGCATAAGCATGCATAGACGCACACATGCAGAAATCTAAATGCTGTTCAATACTCTGAAACAAACAAGAAATTTAACATAAGAACAAAGTTTTCATAATTTTTGGTTCACTTTATAGGAACAGATAACTTGAACATTTGTGACAACTGAAAAGATGTTTAGACTTTGAGATAGAGAAAAACAATAAAGATTATTGACAGACTTTTGTGATAATGTTAAAGTATCCCAGAAACTTATAATTTTTGAACTTGATAGGAAATTGAACAAACTTTAAAGTGTTATTCTCAAATTTTGTTTTTGTAAACAAAACACCTGCTGCCTCTCAAAAGAGGCTCATCTTGGATGGCCAAGGCGGAAAATCTAATCAAGCAAGTATGTGACCTTGACAAGATCAGTCACAGAAGAATGGATGGATACACCAGAGGACATGTATGACTTATCTTAGGTTGTCATAACACTGGGGAGGTACTGCAGGAGTCAGATACCTGCCACCGTAGATGCCGAGATTAGGGCACTGATTGGTAAGCATTCACCCCCAGAAGATGTCGCCATTTACACAGATGGGTCCATGAAACATGGATCAAGATCATCATGGGCACAAAGGATGGGGGATAGCGGTGCTTACCAGACAACTATGTCAATCATGACCATGAAGATAACTGCTTACAATTCTTTTTATAGCTAAACTAAGTAATCCAGAAATTGTGAAGGAGATGGAGACCTGAAAACAGCTTATCACAAAGTATTAAAAAAAAAGCTGTCATCATTTTTTGGTGATGTTATGGGAAGAGAGAAACTTAAACATGTTGTGACAACTGTAAAGAATTGAAAGAGAAAGAGGAAGACATCATAAAAAGGGAACATACTGTTGTGGGGAGTCGGGATCATCTACACTAGTCAACAGTTGATAATTAGGGATATTTATGATAAAACACGTACATATCTTACTCCAAATCTTAGTCGAGGCTTCAACATCACTGCAGTCGATTTTCCCCATACTCACTCCGTTCCTGTGCCAGTGCAAATCAAATGAAATGTCCCTTACTGTCACATTAAAAAAACTAGTGAACAAACAACTAGTCCCAGAGCAATCGAAAAATATGCGCTCGTAGTAAATGCATATTTCAATTGCTAGAGGTGCCAAAGCCAACAGTCTTTACCAGAAATGCAGTTTGTTATTGATGGAAGTAGTCGGGCATGATAAGTTGGTTACTATACACACGTGGAATTATTACATGAGGTATTTCACCAGCTTACACGTAAACCGGCTACCCGCCATTCTGAATACCACAACACAACCGCTGCACAAATAAAAAGCATTTCACACGCAAAAACAGCTCACAGAGATGCAACCAAGCACTAAACTAAGTAGCTCAGGCAGCGAAACAGTAGACTGCCATCCTTATGTAGAAACTGCATCAGCAAAGTGCTGTTGGAAGCTAAAATAACTTTGAAGCTTAACATTTTGCCAAGCCTTTCCTCCATTTTGGCCGGAAGTCTGTTATGTTTTTTGACTCCAAATGTTATTGTGAATGTTTTCAATATTAATTTATTTGTTTTTACTACATTTCTACAGTCATTAAATAAACTTTTGCATTAACCAAATTGATCTTTACTTACTACATACTGAGCCATTATTTGCCATAATACTTTTCTATAAACTCTATTAAATATCTTCTTTTGATCTCTGACTGTCACAAATAGGTTCATATTTGATTCCATGTTCGTTTCTTTTAGCTCTAGAAAAGCAAAGATTGCTAATATGCAGCTTCTGTTTGTTTTGTAGCCCAACATCTCTTCTGTCAAATGCAGTTGTATCACTAGTCTTAGCTTTGTTTCTGTTATCTTGGTATATATTTATTCTCCATAAATGTCTTAGAAGCAGGATGCCTCAGTTTTGCATTAGTTCTTGTTTGTGTCTTTTGTTTTATATAGGGATATTACTATATAATTATGATGAAACAAAAATGACAAATGTCACCATTAATAAAAGTAACTTTCTTGCAGTTGCATGTGACCTTTCTGAGAGAGCTTGTGCATTTGTTGACAATAATGGACAACTGAATTCTCTTTTGCATGATTATCATAACCAGACAGGTGAAGGTAAGCTATAGTATTGTACCTGTCAGTATTATGCTTGTTTAGTATACAGTCTATCTGACAGAATATGTGAGATGGAGATAGGAAAACAATTGCCACTTTACTATATCCAAGGTAACTTTTACAAGAAAACACCACCAAAAGTTAAAAAATCTGTTTAGTTAAAGGTTACAAATAGTCTGTGTCTTTTCATCACAACAAACATTAAGGTGTTGACAGCAGCAAGCACTTTGAGGTCACTTCTCAAAAACATATAAATTTATGAGTCCAATCAGAAGGGGTGAGAAAGAGAAATTAGCTTAATTTGGTAAAATGCTAGACAAGAGAAGAATAGAAAGATCTAGACAGTTACAGTTGTGGAGAGGCATGATCACCTCACCAGTCGACAAGGCACCTGATAATGATGATGAAACAGTTACAATGGCAAGGCAGAAGATAATGATATAAACAGAACCCTAATAAATTAAAATGTCAGGTGGCAGAGATAATTAAAGAATTATGATTTAGACAAATGGATTCAAGCTAAGTTATTATAATGTTTAAAAAATAATTTCTGGGATGTCTATGTGTTAATGAAGGTAAAACCAGAGCAAATACAGGAAACTTATCACATTCAGCTTTATCTTGACTCTTGTATGTGTGCAAGCGCGCATGCACACACACACAGAATAGTACATCTTAATTCGAATGCCTCAAAACTTAAAAGCCGAATGAAATTTTCAAGTAAATTTTGCATCGCAACTTGAAAACCACCTTGCAAAACAAACGACTGGCACGTAATGGTCAAACAAGAGTTTCAGCCCCTTCACCAGCAGCAAAAGGAAGAAATCTCTTCCTGGGAGGAAGAGAAGGAAGCTGGAAGGACTAGCACTACTGAGATTCAAGATTGTTTGACCATGTGGGGAAAACACAGTTAGCAAGTATCATCATCAATTTTCATTTCTACCATTAAGCATTGTGGCAAGGAACAGTTTGTGATCCATTGCTTGATGGGCAGCAATGGCTATTGTCATTTGGTGTCAATGTAGAAGCTCTTTAATGCCCATCTTCAGTCCCTCTTCTCCTAGGATCTTTTTATGCGCCTGCAATAGTAGTTATTCTGGCTGCATTCTTACTAGATGACCAAATTTATCATCTTCTGTTTCTTATAAATTTGCCACATCAGACAGCCTGTTTAATAATATCATTTCTAACTTTGTCTTGGATGGTTAAGTTGGAACTTTTCTTAGGCATCTCATTTCAAAGGTGTTAATGTTATGTAGGTAAGCCTTTGATAATGTTCAAGTCTATCACTGGTAGCATAGTGTTGGTATGAATGATAATTAGCAAGTATAGTGAGACACAATACTGACAACAGTCTTGATAAGAATATAAGATAAAACTCTTGTCACTAATAAGTGAAGGTCCATTTTCCACGCTTTTAGGGGTATTGGGAATATAGGGTTAGACCTATATTTTTTATAGATCAGTCGGCACTGCTCTTGTCACTAATGGCATCCGTCAGTCCCGGGGGACTATGGAGATGTGCCGCTGGCTTTGGGAACAGCATCTGCTGTGACTGTAAAGTCCGATGCGGGAATGGCAGTCTTTGCCACACAGGATACACACAAAAGTAGATACTCCCTCATTGTGAGGCAGTTTTACTCTCCGGTGCCTCCTCTCCACAGCTTGTTGTGTTCGGTTTCTTTCAAAATGTGACAGTCCGTCTTTCACTTTCTGTCTCCATAGTAGTCGATCTGCAGCTAATTTTTCCCATGTCTCTGTGCCTATGTTGGTATCTATTAGGTCACGTTTGCATACATCTTTATAGCACAGCTTTGGCCTTCCTGTAGGTCTATTCCCAGTCACCAATTCACCATATAGGAGATCTTTTGGAATACGACCATCCTCCATGCGGGAGACATGTCCCAGCCAACGCAGACGTCTTTGCTTCAGTATACAATACATTGATGGTATTTTTGCTCTTCTCAGCACACATTCGTTGAAGACAAGGTCTCGCCATAATATACCAAGGATGCGTCTCAGACAGCGCATATGGAAGGTATTAAGTCTTTTTTCCTGTGGAGCATAGAGAGTCCAGGATTCGCAGCCGTACAGTAATGTGCTCAGGACACAAGACTCATTGTCACTGATGCTTGTAAAATGTGCAAGATTTACTTTAGTCGGCTTCATAACAAGTGTTCTGTAAGTCACCATCATGTGCCGTGTCAGTAAGCACTGATGTTCATGGTTCGCCATCTCAGATGGTCACTAGAATCATTGTAGCAGACTTTCAGTGTTGAGAAAAACTTGATGATGATGAGCATCAGCATGTATAATAGAAGCGTATTTTACTGTTACTGTTGTTTTTCTGTATTTTTTCTGTTTAGATGAACACCACATTATCCGATTTTTGTTTCAAGTTGGCTACATAAAGAGGGAAAAAAAACTTGGTTTAATATTGATTCTTTTTACATATTATAGGTGGGAAGTCCATGGAGTGGTTTGGTCTGTTTAGCTTTCCAGTGTATGTGGCTACTTTGGTGATGCTGAATCTTGCTGTTGTATGTGGATTTTTATCGGTTGGTTTTGGTTTCTTCAATGTATTTGGCAGACCTATTGAGACAATTACAGGCCCATCGGGACTTTATGTATGGAATGGTTTGTCATGTAAGTTTTGAGTGTATGAGTGTAATAAAAAAATTGCATGTTGATAGTATAAACCAAAGCATAAAATAGATGAAGTTATATTGAATTAGGAGCTGTAATTGCACAGTGACTAGTTCTCTTGCTTATGTACCTAATGGTCCCGCTATCACACCCTGCTCTAGATGGTGAAATAATATTGCTCAGAGGTGAATAATTCTCATACTTGTGCTACCAAAATGTTGCCCATGTATTAATTTCTTTCTTATAATTCCCTCAAGCAGTTGGCTGTCAAGACAGTGTTATCAACATTACATAAGTTATTTCACCATTACCAAGTATTAATACTGTTGGTGCCTTAACAGTGCACTCAGACAGGTTTTTCCTAATCCATCTCTTGATAATGTCCACCAGTGAGTAATTTGAATTCTCCTTGTAACTTGCAAACATCCCTTAACAAGGACTTATGTCAGTATTTTTGTCCAAAGTATTCACTATTTGATCTTGGTCTAAATTCAGAAATATTTTCCTTATCTGTTGCTGTATTTTGTATTGTCCTTTAACTGCATTTTTATTTTCTTACAGTGTATTTTCATTGTCCATATTTTGCAAAAATGTATGGCACAGGAAACCAACATACACAAACTGTTAAACATTGTATTTGTACATGAACATTTATTTAAGGAATTTGCGAAAGCACTGTTTGATAAAATAAAGACCAGCTTATTCAGTAAGTTCCCATCACTGGAGATTAGAAAAAACAATTCTTGCAAGCTACATAGAACCAGCATTAACATATGTGAATCCTAGACAGTTTGGAAACAAAAATGAATGAGGCTGAGACCCAGTGACAGCTTGGCACTAACATGAAAAAGACTGGTAGTCAACAGATTATCATCATTGCACATTGAACCATTCAGTGCATAAGTGCTCACATTCCCTTCTTAGTATCTTCTTCAGCATGTAGTGGCTTTTGTGTTGATTTACTATTCTTCTTTGGGCCCCTGTTTAGCACTTTTGTCTGGCTTCACCCTTTTTGATGTTATGTTCAAGTAGTGTTGAACATGTTGTGACAACTAGAAAGATTAACGGGAAAAGAAACAGAGAATGACAACAAGAGACAATTCTTGAAAGCCTTTTGTCATGGCAGAGTGGCAGCACATGAACTGATACATGTCGGCAGAGATAGCAAGATCTGAAGAAACAAAATCGCCCACGTCATTTGATGAGGCACTTAATAATAATGATATATAAGGGACTCTTGATGCCAATGTGACATTTTTTATTGCGGTATGATGCTGCTATACTAGTAAATAATCTCTTCTTCATCCTGTTGTACCATTATTTGTCTTAAGGTGCTCACTGTCTATTCTCTCATTCTGTCCTGTGCATTTTTTTAATATCATGGATGGAATCCAGTCCGTCCTCTCTCATCAATGTTCATATTCAAGTTTCTATTGGGCATTCTTATTTCCTTAATTATTTCTCTGTGTGCTTCTCCTTACAGTATGTCCGAAATATTTCCATCTTCTATTCTTCTATAAACAGTGTTTATCAATACATTTCTCTTATTTCTTCTTCACCTTTCTTGAATTCATCCTATTTATTGTTCAAGAATTATTGACTAAAATGAAATGACCGAATTACAGATAGGAAGCTCATAGAATGAACTGAAATATAGTGAATAAGAAGGTGAGCAATATATACTATACCAGCTGGGATTGATATATTGATAAAACCTGACAACAGTATTGCTGAGAAGTCTTGGGACCAGTAGAAATAGAGAACCCCCTTCCTTTTCTCCCCCCTTTAAAAAAACAACAACAGTAACACACAGAGAAGAGAACTACAGACAGAAATGAACAATATGGAGAGGACATGGGGGTAGAGTTGGAGACAGCAAAGGATAGAAGGGCTTGGTGTGAGTTTGCTGAGAGCCTGTAATACATTTAGAGATAACAGGCTGAAGCATATTTCAGGATTTAACAGAATCCATGCCTTTAGTTTTGGTAAATCTCATTCAGTCCCAATCAGTTAGCTCACATGTTTACTTGATACTCTTCACATGATATACCTTTTCTAAACACTTTGTTCCCCAAGTAGTTGTTACAATAACCTGTGGTAACTCAAATATTACTTCAACCCTTTTGGCATCTTAGCATCTCTGGATTTAAACAACTATTACTGCAGGTAAATATACCTAGGAATCAACGAGTTAAGTGATAGCTGCCTGGGACTGAAAGTTATTTTTATATTTTTGTACGTATGCATTTGTCTTAATCACCCAGTAATTCAACATTTGATTATCCCAGAGTTGTTATACTTCTGTACATTCATTTGTCGTAGTCACCAGATTCAACATTTGCTGAATCCCACTTCCAAAACCAGGCAAAGATCATTCCAGACTCAGTGGTTTCAGGATTATAACTCTACAAAATACTTTTGGCAAGGTGCTAGAGAAGATTATTGCTCTTTAAACTACGAATATTGTTGGAAAGGGAAGAGCTCCTGCCAAAAGGTTTGGGTAGTTACCGGCCACGGAAAGAGACCTGGTCAAATGCATTATCTTTGCTTTTGATGTTTATGAGGGTATCGAGAACAGACAAAATGCGAGAGTAGTAGAGTCAGACATGATATTTTCAAATCTGCACTCATGGAAAAAAGGGTTTGTCCTTGGCTTGTGAACTGGATAGGAGCTGTTCTTCATTCATGTATGGTAGCCCTTCGCCTGGGTACATGGACCGCAGAATCATGTTATATCACTCTGGCACTACGCAGGGTTCTGCAATTTTACCAATGCTCTTCAATGTGTATACCTACAAAATTGCAGAACTTGAAGCACCAGGTGTTGAAAAAAATATTAAAATTTGCTGATGATGTTCTTGCATATAGGCAGGAGAGTGATAGGCAGTGGATAGCCTAAGAGCTACAGGCAACTGTAGACAAATTAATTAACTGGTGTACAGAAAAGGGGGCTGTCATTAATTCAGAAAAGGCAGCTGTTTTGTGGTGCTCTCTGGACAATAGAATTGTAAGAGCTAATGTTCCAAGCCTCACAATTAATGACAAAAACAGCAAAAGAGAAAGCATACTAAGGTATCTGGGTATCATTTTCGATAGAAGCCTGTACTTCGGGGATCATGTGGATGCAGTTTCAGTGAAATGCCACAAAGGACTCAATGCTCTCAAGATTATGGCATCAATGGATATGGAATAAAGAATGCTGTATCACAATGTTCAAGCATGTGATCCTGTCGGTGATAGATTATGGACTTGGCATGCTTACCATATCAAAGAGTCAGCTGATGAAACTTAAACACATACAGAATGAAGCCATGTGGGTAATTCTTGGATGCACAAGAGATACCCCAGAAGTATGTATGAGATATATACTTGCACTACCTACTAAAAGAAAGGTGGAGACAGTTGTGTCGTGTGCAGAGTGGCAAGCATCACTTCAGTGGTCCCGGGTGTTTAGCATCCTTTGGATATTCTTTCCAGGTCATGTTAGAAAATCAGCAGTCAGAAAGACTGGCTGGTTCTGCACCACTTGGTGGTGAACTGATATATGACAAGCTAGATGTTGTGAGGGCCCTTTGGGAGCGAGTTACCAGGGGATCTTGCCGATGCTCAACACTCACGGGAAAGGCGAGACTGATATACAATCAGACAGTTACTGGTACCATCAGAATTGGAACTTTTTGTTTGCTGCTGAAGATGGAGCGCTTATGGGTGTGTCCCGAGTGCTGTGATGTCAATTCTTAATTCAACATTCAACTACATACTATTGCAGATAGGCTCCATGTTCTGCAAGCAAAGTCATATCTCAGAGTTGATAAAAGACTCACTTTCAAATCCAGCTGCGACTCGCTGCAGCTCACAGCTGGTGTTCGAAACCGGGCGGTTCATGGGGTTCACCTAGCCTCTAGGTAATGGGTACCAGAGTAAACATTCTGGGGTAAATAGAGCTATGGAGTAGCGTGCGAATGGCGACACAGGCGGACAGTTTCTTATCAGTTGTCCGTACTGGTGGCAGAGCACTTAGGGTTTATAACTGTGCAGTGACGCTGGTTCACATCTCCCAACTTTACCTTTACTTCACCTTTTATATCTCAGAGTAGCTGCAGACAAGGAGCACCTCCTGCATAAAGCCCTGGGTAGAGCTAAGGGTCACAGACTGAAAAGAGGAAGGTCTTGGATGGCGCAAGCTAAAGACACAACTGGACATGTGTGCAGGCTCGATAAATTGAAGCGAGGAGAGGAGTGGGTCAGCGTCTGAGCAAGTTTCAGATTTGTGTAGGGTTCTTATCACTTTTAGTCATGAGTGCAGAGATTGGCCAGCTGATGCTGCAGAATCAGAAGTTCAACAAATGATTCATGACAATATCCGCCCAGGTGATGTGATTATTTATACAGATGGCTCTGTGTTGAGGGGCAGACGAAGTGCATGGGGTTTCATAGCAAAGGCAAATGAACGTTGCCAAGTGCAGCAAAGCCTTGCGTACGACATCACAACGTGTAGTTTGAGAATGGAGGTGGAGGCAGTAACTGATGCCTTTCATTGGCTTGAGAATCAACTGTACACACATGCCATGATTGTAACTGTCTTGCAGAGCATGCTGAGAAAGGTGGAGACAGGCATGCTCCGTGCAGAGGGCAGCATCACTTCAGAGATCCCGGGTAGTTAGAATCCTTATTATATATTCTCCAGGTTCCGCCGGTGTGTTGGGAAATGAGAAAGCAGATAGGCAGGCTAGTTCTGCACTGCTTGGTGGTGAACTGATGAATGACAAGCTGGATATTGAGAGGGTTCTTTGTGAGTGATTGAACAGTGCAGAGATACAGACAGATCATTAACATCTGGGAAGAATGGTGCAGCGAGGAGTTACAAGAAGATTTGGCTGGTGCTCAACATTCAGGAGAAAGGTGAAATGGATATACAATCAGACACTTACTAGTGCCATCGGAATTGGAATTCATTGCTTCCTGAAGAAGATAGGAACGGAGCACTTATGCTGTGATGTCGATTTTTAATTCAACATTTGCTGGATCCCACAGTTGTAATAATTCTATACAGATGAATTAGTCACCCAGTAATTCAACATTTGCTGTATCCCACAGTTGTTATACTTTTGTACAGATGTGTTTGTCTTAGTCACCCAGTAATTCAACATTTGCTGTATCCCACAGTTGTTATACTTTTGTACAGATGTGTTTGTCTTAGTCACCCAGTAATTCAACATTTGCTGTATCCCACAGTTGTGTTTGCAACAGCAGCATTTGGAACCTACTTGGGCCTATACTTTTCTCAACTGAAAGTGAACATCTTGAAACCGGAAGAATTGTCGAGCTTCACATCAGGAGATCATACTAACTTGGACTATTCCTTTTACTTTGTAGTTGGGGCTGCCGCATCTTTCATTTTAAACCTTGTTTTATTATCCTTGTCAGGACAAAAATGTTCTTGCCATTACTCACTCACAGGAAAAAAGGAAGTAGATAGTGGTATGATTCTTTATTAGATGTTGAAACATTTCAGCTTTGTTTTTCTTGAAAGCAAGGAGCAGTAAAAGACAAGGTTCATCATTAGAATTCCAGTGACATTCCATAGTAAAGAACGTCAAAATATGGTACTTTTTCTTTTTCTTCTTTTGTTCGCTTGAAATAGGTTATCTATATGTGCAATGCTGTCTTTTTAAATACCATTAAAACAGCTTCTGAGTGTGTTTACACTTTAATTGGAATTACTAAAATATTTAGTTCTGAAATGGTCAAATATTTGACATATTATAAACCTGCTGGACTGAAAACATTACACACACATTTGAATTGAATGTGCAAGTTACAAAATATTTTGTAAGAATTGTCAAAATTAGTTAGTTAGTTAGTTAGTTGGGTTATCGTCATTGCACTCCGGACATGTCCATAGGTGCTCAGATCCTCCCCTCAGTATGAAACCCAACGTCCGATGGCTAATAGTACCAGTTCTATGTTGATTAACAAGTCTTCTGACGTGTCCGGTGTGCGTCTCGTTTTTTGCTGTGCCGATCTTAATTCCCAGATCTGCCATTCTGGCGAGTGATGTGGATTCACTGTCACCAAAGTCCTCTATCCTTCCCATTTCTCTGAGGGCATTGATAATATCAGCATGATCCATAGGCCGACCGTCAAATTGTCAAAATGCTGAGAGGGATCAAAGAAATAATTAATAAAAAGCGTTCTTACCTATGAATCAGCATAAATTGTAATAAATATACTTCTAATGATATTACTATCTTCAGAAAAACATATTTAGAAATTCAGGGTTGTAAAAGTGCCTGACATTTTGGCAGTGTTTTCATTTCAACCACAAAAATTTCAGCTTATGAATTATGGTTCTTGAGAAAAAGTTGCCAGCAAAATGTATTAAAAGTCCCTAACATTTTCATGGTTAATGAACACAAGGCCAGAGAGAAATGTTTGAAATTGAATATAGAGGAGTAAACATGTGAATTTAAGCATGAAAGTACATCTGAAGCATGAAAATACATGAGGTAGAGGAACTGGCAAAAGGTGGAGGCTGTATAGAAAGAGGCACACTGGATAAACACCTGATTCCTCAATATTGTAGATGGTGTTGTAGATTGTAGACAGTGAATATTGTCAGTATGGCTTCTATCTTCTGCAGCTGACATTGTAATTGCAGTTTTGTTCTAATGGTTACAGTGATAGAAGTCAGAGCAGTGCATATAGATCTCATACTATAAATATAAACCAAACATTTCCCAGTGAGCAGTTTTTGTGAATTGTTGCCATAAAAATACAAATGTGCGGTTTTGATAAATAACGAGTGGTCCGATTCATCAAATTTGGAGTGATGGTCGGTCACTCAAAAAAAAGAAGTCAGTAAAAAGATGTCACCTTGAGAATAGGGTGGACCTTACTAATTATTTTAAGAATGCCTATTAATATATTTTAGGGTTGTGATTTTTATATTTGTCTTTCCATCATGTTATCAGTGTTCCTGTTTTACTTATCACTTCATGCTATATTCAGTTTTAGCGCTTGTAATAACTTGAACACATATTATACTGCAAGTGCATATGCTTGTTAAGTTTGTTATGTCCTGTCCTGAGGCCTAGAATAATGACCTGCCCATGCCGGTCAAGTAAGTAGTCATCTCTGGCCAGATTCTGTTCACTTCTGATAGACTGGATGGCCCTTTTCCTCTCAAAGTATGTTACTGCATTCTCTTCCTGGTCACATTCTGCCCCTTTCTTACAAGTTTATCTGTGGTTTCATTTCCTGGTATACCCACCGGAGTACAGTACACTTTTGGGCAGCCACCTTGCCAAGTTCAGATCTCAGGTGAGGGAGTTTGCCACGCTTGAGGGCTTGTAACACCAATACCGCATCTGTGAGGATAACTGGGTGGCAGTCAGAACTGGTGTTGTTTAACATTTTGGCAGCCTGCTCTAGCGCTGCGATCTCTGCTGTGTAGTTGGAACAGAATTAAAAAAAAAAAACAAAAAAAAAAAACTTTTTCATGCAGGTGGCGCATTGGGTATATGATGCTAGATTCATATTTTTATAGACCAATCAGCACTCGATGGGTGATGAATTTAGATAACATCAGCCACCTTTACTTCACAGAACCTTACCTGGTACCCATTTTAAGCTGGGTCGCCCTGGGAGCCAAGGTCAAACAAAAATCTTAACATGCTGCAGATTCAAACACTAGCTTTTAGAGAAAATGTCCAGCAGAGATCTGCATGTAGTGTTGACATAGACATCTCTACAATATGCCAGAGAGCTACCAGGTGAAACCAGTATTTAAAATTTCAGCAGAAGTAAATCATCTGCATCCCCAGAGATATTCATAGCTTTCTGGGCTGACTGTTTGAAATATGGTACAGAAAAATGGACTATCACATTTATATATTAGAGAGTTCTTTAAAGAATACATATCGTTACAGATACTGCATTGCACAACAGTTTAATGAAGTGATCTTTATTATTCATTGAGTATTTGTGCAGATATGTCAGGACTGTCCCAAACCTCTCATTTTCTTCTGTTTCAACAAACTGTATCATAACTAAATTGTGATTCGCAGCAAAGGGCAGAAAAATAACATTAATAAATAGTTGTCTGATTTCATTTACTGGATATGATGAAGATAAAGCAAGAAGGAAGAACTACAATAATTTTGAAATAGTCTAAAGATATTAGTCCAGTGCAGGTACAGCCTGTCCACTGTGATATTCTTTAAAAAATAGTGAAGCTCACCTGACTATAGCTTCAACATTTTACGGACAGACATCCCAAGTATCTTGGAAGCATGCAACTGCTGCATTTCATACATACAGTTATTGAACACATGACACAGAAGCATATTTGTGTCATCATCATCAATTTCCACTTCTACCTTTAGGCGTTGTGGGGAGGAACAACAGTTCGCCATCCATTGCTTGATGGGCAGCAATGGATATTGTCATTCCATGTCGATGTAGAAGCTCTTTAATGTCATCAGCCCATGTTCTTCTAGGGCAGCCTCTTGCTTTCACTTCAGATCTTTTCATGTGTAGTGCCTGCATTGGTAGTTCTGGCTTACTAAATGACCAAACCATTTGATCTTTTGTTTCTCAATGAATTTGCTGCATGGTGTTGTTCCTACAGTCTGTCTCATAATATCATTTATAACTTTGTCTCGGAACGTTAAGTTGGCAACTTTTCTCAGGCATCCCATTTCACAGTTGGTATATAAGTGCACTAGCTAGTTGGCATCTTATTTCTATTTTCCAATCTATTCTTCCATCCTCCGAAAATATTCTTCCTAGATTTTTAAATTCTTCATCTTGCTTCAGACAAGTACCATTCAACCGATATGTAGTGGACTAGGAATTCTGCTGACTTGCATGACTTCATTTTTCGCAGTATTTTTTAAAATGTTTTATTTTCTGCATGTTGAACCTAGCCTGTTTAAATGGTCGTGCAGTCTACTTCCCTCATTAAAGAACAGGCATTGATCGTCTGCAAATAGTAGCTCATTTATTGTGTGTGGATTTAATTCTTCCTCTGGAAAGTAAATTTCCTCATTTTCTGGATTGACTGCTTTAAAACTGGCTTCTTTTGATATTCTATTTATGAATATAGTAAATAAGAGAGGAGATGGCACACAACACAGTTTTGTATTTTTCATAAATATGACTACACATGTAAATAACAGCTGGTAATTAATTAATGTTTAAAATTTTGTTAGTTCTTTAAGTGATGGGCTAGGCATTCTTACCCTCATCAACTCAGTGTAATCAAAACACATTCTAAAATGGATCTGTAAATTACTGAAATAAATGTGCAAATGTTTGTAATTGCACAAGAAATATTTCTGTCGAAACTATGAAATACATGCTTGGTCTTCTACAAGTAAAGTTCAGACAAACACCAGTCAAGCCATGTCAGAGGTGAAGATACCAGAGAGATGGTACAAAATTCAACCAGGTGCACTTCAGGAACACAATGCTACATGCATAGCCTATCAGACAACTTGAATATGTACATAGACACATGTTGTGAACATTTTTACAAATACTATATGTGCTATAACAATCTTTCGCTACATTTTAAATGAAACTGTTTTAAAACAATAAAGAACTGAGTTTTCTGCTCTCCTGTCTTTTATTAAATTTTTTGTTTTGTTTTATGTGTGCAGCTCTCTAAAATATTTATTTCTTATTTCACTAGTGGTGGATGAGGGAAGCACCTTTCACATATTCTCATTATCTAGCAAGTCCTTTGCAGAATGCTGTTCCAGTCAGTCTACAGCAGCATCTCCCAAACATTTTGGTGCCAGGCCCCACCTAAACCTTTCTACAAATTATTGTGCCCTCTTTGTAACTTAAAACTCTGGACGAGTCCATTTTTCAACGGAGCCTTCTCCCCCTTCCCGGTCAAATTGACTCCTGTGGGGTGTAGACTCCATACTAGGAAACACTGGTCTACACCAAAGATTTTTTTCATTCTTCACCAATTTCTCAACTTCATTCACATCCCTGCTGTGGGTGTCCTCAGTATAATGGCTAAAATCATGCCTTCCATTATTGTGCTTTCTAAATGACCATTACATTCACATGGTCAAAGAAATTACATTCACATGGTCAAAGAAATTACATTCACATGGTCAAAGAAAGCACTTAAATTTCTTAGACATGTGCATGGACCAGGTTTCTTCACTGTTTACATAGGATATCACTTGCCAGAATGAGAGACTTGGGAGTTAAGATCAGCATAGCAAAAAGCGAGACCTACATCAGAGGACTTGTTAATCAACATAGAACTGGTACTATTATCCACTTGACATTGGGGTTCATACTGAAGGGAGGATCAGAGCACATATGGACATGTCTGAAGCACAATGATGATAACCCAACTAACTATAGTGTAGAGTATCAGTTATATTTTTCTTCTTAATCCATGCACTCTAAAAAATATTCTGCAACATTCAAGTTCCATTGCCTAAATGTTCTAATTAAGTTTGTGAAATGA